TTGGCTCCTGGTGACCTCTGCTTCTGGGTCTGCCAGGGGCTTCTGGGCAGGGTCCAAACTCCTAGAAAAAAAACCAGTGTGAATCTGCCAAAAACCTCCTCGTCCTGAACACAGGAAGGAGACATGAGCTTGAATGTGAATTCCGGTAGCAGAGCCTTCCTTGCAAGAGATGACAGGCATGGAAAGGAATCCTGATGTTCCAGGCACCTTCTGGATCCGAGAGCTGCTGCAGAATCGTTCCCAGAACTCTTATGTCAGCAAGGAGGACCACTGATGCATGGAAAGTTTGCTTGCGTGGGTTATTTGGTGGTGGCTGTGTGTGGGGATCACCCCTAATGTATTCTGGTTTCACTATGCACGACAGCATTTTCCTAACCCTTACTGGCTTTTTGAGGGAAAAACAAGGGCTCACTTCATCAGTTTCTGAATAGATGCACTCAGAGGCCAGACCAAAAGTAGCACGTGTCTGGGTTGTTGCAGCTGAATCGTTCTCTAAACAAAAAAATGATGACTAGGAAGGGGTAGGGAGTGAGGCTTCCTTCTGTACTCTGAAGATGACCCTGCCTCTAAGGCATGTGGTCCTTTGGACTCGGTGGTGGTAGGTTTGGTTGAACATGTTCCACTGATGTTCACAAGCTTCAAATCGTCCCTTCCCTCACCCAAGCAAGGTTAAATCCAAGTCACTTACGATATTTTGCCTGGGTTGGATTCTTATGGTTTGTGGTAGAAGACCTGATGATACAATCACATGATAGATCAATCACTCTAAAGATTTTTTTTCCCACGGAAGCAATGAATGTGACAGGCTTTTAATCAATTCAAGTGCCAGGAGTGTCTACCCAATTGCCTTCTCCTGTCTCTCTTTTCACATATCGGTTTGCATCTTCCATTGATCGCCCAAGAGTAGATATGAGCTGGGCCAACGCTGCTAGTGCAAGCTCTCTGGTAATTGGAAGACATGGGACAGCTGCCTCAAGAGGTGACAGCAGAAATAAGAGCAGGCATCCACCCTCAATGCTTATGACATGGAATGCTGTCTGTGCACCAGGAGGGAGTTCTGATTTTTCTCTAACTTGTGCTACAGTGGCCACTTTCAGATCAGGGGCCCGTCTTGTGTTACTTTCACAGGACTCTTGTGCAAGGGAGTGTGCAGGGCTAGGCAGAGAACTTGATGCAGACAAAAGTAAAGGAGACCCAATGTCTACATTTACTGGAACTGATGCAATAAAGTGAGGAAATGGTGCACCTGATCTGGAGTGTTCTCTTGTGTGGAAAGGTTGCTCCTCCTTGGTCCAAGTCATTGTGGCCATGGGTATGAACTTTGCCAATCCAGCAGTCAAACTTTCTTGTTTGAAGTGGGATATTTTTCTAGAGATGGCTGCAAAGGAGCAGTAATTTCCTTGCTGTTGCCACTAAGTATTAAACAGGAAGGGACAAGGAGTGGGGATGACATCTCTAGTGGTGCTGATGTGAAGTTTCCTACATGTCAAGCAATGGAATGTCTAACTGGTTTGCTAGGATTATTTCTGTATTGAAAGTTTCTAATTATGCTTTTTAAATAATTTTAAAAAACTAAAAATAAAGGTTACAAGCTGCCAAATTTTTCCTTTTGAGGGTCTGTTTCCTCTGCTCTCCAGCCTCTGGTGCTGGGTTCTGTCCCTGGCTTGCTTCTCTCTGCTTATACACCATACTTTTGCTGCAGAGGGCATCAGTAAAGTTAAAATAACTGCCTTCAAGCATCTTGCTGTTCTGGGACTTCTGGGTGTGCTTGGTGCAACTTCACACTAAATCTTTACCAGTGTTCAGCTGGCAAGAGGATTTTTTTTGTGAAGTAGAGGGGAAAGTCATAGTGTACAAGGTGAAGTGCTGATGGTTTTGCTAGGCTTTTTAGGCTTAACCTGTATGGGTGCAGGGAAAGTCTGGAGCTCTTTTTTGGAGGCAGCACAGGCCAGATTTCTAAATTGGTAAGAGAAGTTGGACAAAAGCTCATCCTAGAAGCAACCCTCCCTCCACATCCATCTGTGCCATTCTAAAATAAGAGTAAAGTAGCTGGTGCAAGATGGAGGCATTTCATTGTTCCTCTGTTGCTCTGTGTTCAACTCAGGTTATTGCTAGAACTTCTTTCTGTATTCACTATTCAGGTTCCTCACCACTTGCTGCTAAGAGCTTTTAATCATACCAGCATATTTTTCCCAGCTGTAATGCCTGGGTCTCTTTAAAATGAGATCCTTCTCATCCTATTTTTCTGTGCAGCTGAAGGAATGAATGCACTGGAAAACTGCTGTTATTTCAGTGCTATACATCTCTGGAAGATCATCTGACTGAGTTGCTTGAGATGGCAAGATGCTGTTACAGTCAGGTGTTATAGTGACTCTAAGAAGTTAGTTAAGTGAGCCTTCTTCATACCTTCACAGAATAACCAGTGATTTGAAAGTGGAGACCATGTCATAGAAATGATTCATCTTTATTCTGAAGAGAACTATTTACAAAAGAAGCAGTAGAGCACTGTATTTACTAAAATATGCCTTTATAGATTTATATAATGTGGATCTTTCTTTATAAAAAAAAAAAAAAACAAAAAACAACCAAACATACACATATTTACATTGCTTCTACATACAAAAATTACAGCACTGTGGTATGTACATATCTATAGATACATTCTTTCTGCTTGTCCCTGCTGTGTGCTTTTTCCACATCCAATCTAAGAGGACTGTCACTGCAGCACCCAGGCATGTCCTTTATGCTGCTTAGCTTTTGGTTAAAACAATCTTGCTTTTATAGCTGCTGAAGTGGACATAGCAAGAAGGGTTGCAGTATGTGGAAGGGGGAGGTGTCCAGAACTCGCCTTCCCTCCTAGCCTATATGGGCCATGCTGTAGTCCTTGTGCATACAGTGCTGCCTGTCACTCAAGTATCTCGCTCTGCTGCACAAAACTGCACATCCTTCTTGCAAATTGCTCTACTGTTCATGTCAATGGTAACTGCTGACCTAGGTTTGTCAGGATAAAGTGCTAATGACATGCCTTGCATATAAATACATCTGCATTAATGTCGTCTCTACTATGCTTGTTAGTCTCACTTCACATTGGCCTAATCTTTATTTAAGGGCAGTCTTCCTCTACCCTTCTGCTAGCAAAAATTGCTTGTTGGCCCAAATGGGTGATGGTTACTGCTTAAACTCCAGGTGAAATGTGTGTCCTTCACCATAGTTGCATGATGATTGTAATGTAGTAACTAAAGTGTGAAATTTCATTACTGATATTTTATTGTTTAGTTTCTGACTAACACTACTACTTCAGTTGTTGGAGATGCAACTTCTAGGTGATGATATCCTTGTTAATTGATCCTCAACTAGGATACTTTCTATAAGCTACTGTGCTTGCTCGATGTTGGAGTAACTACAGTTGCTTTCTGAGCACGTGGCTCTTCTCAAGTGTGGTTAAGTATCATCTGCTGTGAGTTGAGTGTTTAATCCCATTTTACAAGCAGCAATTCCGAGTCTCATCTCTACTGCCTTGTATTGCCTGTGAAGGTGAGTGCTTTGCTTTGACAGTTTGAAAGAGGATGAAATGTTCAGGCTGCTTAAAGCACAGCATGCATTACTTTGTCTGTTTGGGAATGCAAAGGACAGTGGTAAGCAAAATGAGGATTTTAAGGCAGTTGTTTCATGTTGAGTAGCAGCTCAACACAAGGACAGGTTTTCTTGTGGTTTGTCACTTCATTGATTTTTTTTTTTTTTAAGCCCCATCACCACCACTTTAACAATTCCTTCCCTATTCCTTGGTTTCTGTTTCTTAGTTGCACTAGTATATATGATCATCACCAGCCTGAACTAGAATGGCTTTCCTTTCCCATTCTCCAACTGGAAAAAATATTGCAGTAAGACTAACTTGATTCCCTTTTTTTAACTGAAGCAATATGTGTTTGTGTACTTCAGCTGCCTACTACATTTAGCAACTGAATGACTAACTTCTACTTTCCCCTCCTAGCAAACATGCAGCAGAAGGCACCTTTCTTTCTTATTACTATATCTGCATTGAATATCCCAAGGCCCCTGCCTTAGGATTGTACATACATCATGGCTATAAAGTCCCACACAGTTGCTGGGCATGCAGTTCTGGGGAATGGCAAGAGTAAAGTGAAAAGGTAACACCAAACTGAAGATTATTTAGGGTGCTGCCTCCATATCCTGGCTGCAGCCTACTCTAGGGGCTATGATGGGGAAGGGGGAGACCAGTGATTCTCAACAGGGATTCTGCAGCATATTCCTTTCAAGGGTGCCATACACATGTGATTCACAAGAAAAAGCATTCTGAGTTTAAGCACCATGCATCCCTGGTCTGTTATGAACTTTCTGGTTTTTGCAACAGAACTGCTTTCTTTTCTGCAGTCAATAAAATTAAGAGCTGGCACTTTTCTAACTAAGTTGAGAACCACTGGGCTAGATGCATAAGGCAGGCTTCATTGCTTAAGCTAAACAGTTATTGGTAGTGCTGGCATCCAGGAAACCTTCACCTATGGCTGTAGGTGCTGGGCATGTGTACAACTGTAAGCATTGAAGGAGGCCCTAACACCTCTCACAGACTTAGATGAATGCCAGTTTAATTCTAACCAGATATGCCTTTCACACATGCAGGATCAGATCCTATAGACATGCTCAACACCTAACTCTTTCCCCCTACAAAAAATGTAATTTGGAAAAGGCTCCTGGTTGTAAATCCTGTCACAGTGTACTACAACCCAGACCTTTCCAGGAATTTATCTGTACTCATTGCCTTGGGGATTTCCCATTGGCTAGTTTAAATGTTTCTCAGGGTGGGGCTGGGATGGCTGATCTTGGGGCCTGTGGATTCAGTGGGATAGGACAATAAAGTGCTGCAACGCTGAGAATTGCACCAAGACCTCTTGTAGATCTAGCCTGAAATGTTTCATGTTATGACATAAAGTGCTTTGAAGAGAACACCAAGCTAGTCCTACAGTGTATGGGGGAGGTACCTGCTCTACTAGCTAACTCCTCCCTGCTGCTGGATTTCTGGCACTGCTACAAATGAACACTAAGCAAGAGCATGCCTGTACTCTCCTGGCTGCCTAGGACCAGTTGCCCATCTCCTGAGCATAAAGATCCAGCCACCTACCATCACATCCTGTGTAGTGGAAGACTCAGGGTTAGCACTGACTAGTGGTTAAGCCTACAGTACAGAGCAAAGGAAAAACTACACACTTCTAACCAGATCCTCCAGTTAGCCACTCAACTTCTGTTTCAGTCAGCAGGAGTTAGCTGTGAGAGTTGCTGAATGTTCACAATGAACCTTGAGTGTGTGGGGCAGAGGGGCAGGGCTGGGGGGCAGAGGGGGGGGTAGGAAGGGAAGCAAGTTCCTGAGAGTACTCAACAGCCACAACTCCCATTCAATAGAATTTACTTAATGGGTGACCAGCCCCTATGCATCAAATCCTCAGATCTTTAAACTGACTGTGGGGGTTTGACTTAAGCTCTCAGCATTACAACTCCACTGAGTGGTCAGGGATTTGGATTCTCAATGTGGTATAAAGGGTCCTCCTTTTCCCTTGCATTCATCCCTTCTTTCCTTTACCCTAAGTGGGAATTGCACTAGACTTCCATCCCCTGCACTGCCTTGTTCTGGGGCTGCTTCCTTCCTTCTCCAGCATAAGAGAACAAGTTTAAGACAATCAGATTATTCATCACAGCAGAAACTGAGGGGACTCTCAAAGTGCCTAAAATGCACCCTGCAGTTTATCACTTAAGGAACAGGAACCGTTGCTCTCAATTGGTATCACCGTCCAATTGTCATCGCCAATTTATGTAAACAGTGGATCAGACCACATGGAGTGTAGATAGTGCAGAGTCTCAAGGGTTAATTTCTTTGCCTTTTGTGTTTTTCCTATTGGGTCCATCAGCAAGCTGGGCAGTTGCCCCTACTTCCCATCATGAAGCAGGATAAGTAAAGAGGTTTCTCCTTTCACACTAATTTTTCTTGAAAAAGGAAAAGAGACGGTTCCCTTCTGCCCCAACGGGCTCATCCCCCTGCTGCTCCAGCCTGAACACGGGGGAGGGTCTTGCGCTCCGCTTTGCACCATAGCCATTGGAGAAGGAATAGGCAGGCTGGCTCCATTCCTTCGGGTGTTTGTCCATCAGCTGCTGGTCAATGACCCTGTGCATGTCGTCCTACAGTAGAAGAGAGAGGGGAAACTAATTAACAGGGCAACCAGAGTTTTGGCAGGGTTTATTCATGGATACAGCTAATAATGGGATTATAGAATGGCTATGATGAAATGAAGACAGGGAAGAGAACAGGAATGGCAGCTGGCCACCCAGCTTTCATCAGCCTCATTACCTTTTCTCCAACAAGAGACCCAGAAATATGACGGGAGGGAGTTTAATTTCTTTCCTTATTAGAGATTAAGCCCAACCCAGACAGCTTGAGGTCCTGGGCTGGCCCCTTGCCAGGGATCTCCTGATGAGTGGGAAGAGGAGCCTAGCTTCTGTTTAGTGGTGTCATGAAGAGTTGCAAAATACTCTTCGAGCTGCCTGCTGGTGCCTGGGTGCCACCTGAGTGCAAGAAGGACTGATGAGGCATAGGGCCTGAAGGGTTAGGGCTTCAGACCAGAGCTAACCCAAGCTCTGTACTGAGGAGCAACAGCACAGCTGCTAAAAACGTGGCAGAGAAGACAAAGTGCTTGCATATATTACACGGACATTTCAAAACAGTACGACTCACTTTATGATCAGAGGGAACTAGTGGCTTGAGTGATGAACCTAGGAATAAGTAACTGGGAGGGGGAAAGCTCCCTGTATTGTCCAAAATGCAGTGTTAGAACAACTCACCGATGAAGACTATATAACGTAAGGTTGCCTCAGATTGGTTTTCATCCCTTACATGATGGGCCACTGAAATCCTCTGATCAGCATAATTCAGCCCTGAAGCACATGGTTTTTCAGTGTATAAGAACAATCCTTCCTTTTAGCAACATGCCCAATGCAATTGCATTATGCAAACAACCTTAAGTCAGCAATCAGGCAGAGGTAACCAACCATCACCCAATGATGAGCTAGTAGACAACAGCCTAAAAGAGAAATGCACATTGAAACTCTAATCCAGGCCTACTGGACAACTGCAGCTGTGATCCTCCCACAAGCATGATACACAGGCAGGAATTAATTTTACAAGAAAACAATGTGTGGCTAACAACAAGCTTGTGAGAAATGTTAAATCCATAAAACCAACACAGATGACTGAGGTTTAGTTCTCAGGTGCCCTGGTCATCACTACAGCTCTGACACTGGTGCTCTGGCTAATTAGACATGCCAAAATAAATATTTGTTCCATTGCCATATAAACATTAGGGCCTCAGATAAACACCTCTGTGGAAACAGGCAAAATCAGATTCTCCATTTTGCTGGTGGCAAAAGGGAGACTGGACAGTAAAATGACTTGCTAGTGTCACAGAGCAGGGCTTCTGGTCATGCTTTTCCCCTAGTGCAAATCTGCTCGCTCAAAATGCCATCACTGCGAAGTCTCTCTATTTAGGCCGAGACTATGGCAAAACATTTATTACAGACTGTCCCCATGCAGTTGTCTGAATGGGGGAACCAACATTCAGAGAAGACAGGACAGTGTTAAGCATTCACCCGTCCCCTCCATGCTGCCCAGGCACTGCCAAGTTTTTTTCTGTCTTACCACCTGCTGTACAAAACCACATCCTCTAGCCTGCTGCCTGTAAGGCTTTGCCATCAGCAGGCGACAACATTAATAACTCTCAGCCCTGACGTCCATTGTCTGCAACAGATCTTAAGGCTCTAGGGCTGCATCCAGATGAGCACAGCCGTGTGGTATGTGGCGCCTCAGACATGTCTGTGGTGCCACATACCACATGTTCAGTTGTTCTCCGTGCTGCAAGGGAGCAGCACAGAGGGTTTGTTTTTTTTACTCCTGAATATCCAGGAGTCAAGAAACCTGTGGGGGGAAAAGAAGCAGAGTGATGAATGTGGCGGCAGCACGCACCGCCCAAAGCTGGAGCCTGGCTGGCTGGAGCCACACTTTGCTGCCAGCCAGGCTCCACGCAGCAGGATCGCCACTGCCACAGCCCCGGGAGGCCCCAGGTAAGGCTGCTGGGGCCAGCCCAGTGCTGGCCCCAGCCTCCCCCACCTAGG